TTCAGGTAAGGTGGCCAAAGGCCTAAGAAACAGATGGGTTCCAATCAATAAAAAAAATCAACCAGCTCCAGTGAATACGCTGCTAAATTATTTTATCATTTGATAGGCTGTTCAGAAAGGCTGTTAAGTTTCTGCAAGATTTTGCAGGTATTGCAAGTTTATATGAAACATAGAAAAACACCACAAATAAACAATATGTTCTCGTTTGCTGGAAGAGAAAGCCAGAAATATTGCAACCCTAAGTAAGGATGCTTTCAAAAACACACTCTCGGACCTTCCACATAGGAACAAAATGTCATCCTGTCTTAAAGGTGACCATGGCCATCTAAGAAGTAATTTGTCATTGCCACATGAAATACATGGCTGCCTTTTTTTTTTTTTTAAATCATAGCTGACACACCAACTCCATTTATGAAACTGAAATTCATGTGAAGCAACTACAAATGTTCATTCACTGCTAATAACTAAAAACACACTCTCCTACAGCAGGACACCAATTAAACTGATTTAATGACTCTTGCATCATGCTAGAAATGTGTCTCCTGACATGTATTTGATTGCTAAACTAGGTCTTTAAGTTATGCCATAGAGGTTATTTCTGCTAGCTGGTTAGAAAGAGGGCTGGAATTAGAAAGGACGTGGAAGTGGCTCTAGAGGCATAACTGATGAGCAGATTGTGAGGATGAGGGAAGGAAGCCTGGAACAGGCAGAAATGAACAGGAATTTTCACAGGCCTAAGATCATTTGTGTTTGTCAAGAACCAGCTTTCTAAGTAAAGATTTCATTTCACATAAAAATGTTTTGTTTAGGGATTACTGCGCTGTCCCACTAGGAAGGGAATAAAGCCCCTTCCTTGTGGGGAACAATCTGCTTCTAAACAAAGATATTCTTATGTACAGAGTTGTATTAGGAAAATAAAAGAATGGTTTTAATAACCAGTGATTTCCAAGTCAATGTCTAGTTGCAGTCTGTATAGTGCCAGTGCAGACTGCAGCCCCACTGAGACAGGTCCAATTATTTTGCATTCACCAAAACTTTAAAATAATCCTTGTCTCTGGAGGAGAGTAAGAATTGTGTATTCTCACAGGTCCTTCTCACCTTGAGGATATTACATTAGTACCATCCTCGTCATTGTCTTATTTTGCTTCAACAATCCCAGTAATTAAATGCAGAGGAACATACCAGTTCTACATTCTGGATTATGTGGGTCCAGTAAATAATAGTTAGCATTTGCCAGCTATCACATACTGCCACTTACATACCCTTTTCTCAGCTCATTGCAATGGCGACCAGAGCAGTAAGTAATATTTTGTCCTATAATGTACTACATTCTTCTTTAGAGGAATTCATACCCATGAGAGAATATAATACGGATTTTGTTTTACTAGATATGCATTTATGGGCTTTCTTTCCTTCTTGTGCATATACACAGACACAGGCAGGTGAGCTATGTAACTTTAAACTCTTCTGAACTACTACATCAATGATAGTAGTTATGAAAATTGAAGCCACATATATGAATCAATCACATAAGTATTAATATTTGTCTCAGTGACACGCGAAATATTTTTTTCTCCCTGAGCAATCTTAACTCTCATGTCATCTAGTAGTAATTGTGATGAACAGTAGGTGAAAAGAAGTAATATAAAAAGAGAAATCCAATTTTGTACCCCTTCTAGATAAAAAATTGCAGAACAAACTCTTATTTTATTGTCCTTATGCAGTCCCATATTCGCTATGCTGATTTTATGGAACAAATAGTCATAATCCACTTTGTATCATTACAAATGTATGATTTGTAAAGGAGATGAGGGACTTAAATTTAAAATATAAGCCACACATGCAGAGAGAAGCAAATACCCCTAGGGCAAGCAAAATGTATTCCCCGGAGGGGACAATTTTACACAGAGGACAAGCTGTACTGGAAATACCAAGTATATTTCAAATAGTAGCAAGCATGAGTGATTGCTTAATTGCACTCTTAGTTCCTTAAAGCAGATTTCACAATATATGCAGATACAGAGGGAGTGAGGTATTTATTGATTTTTGGTTTTAAACTCACATACAATTTTCAGTTGGTTTTTTTTTTCCCTTCACACAGAAGGGTTTAAACACAGTGCAACCATCTTAAAACAGAGATGACATTTCAAAGGAGTACTTATCATGGCTGTAAGATCTCACCTTTGTTTTTACTTTTAATTCTACAAGGTACATATTCTACTGAAAGCATAAAGCAAAGAAGGATTATTTAATCATAATTTCTCACACAAACATACACAAAGCCTTCACACACATTTCAAAGGATCTTCACTTGTTCTAAAGTCTTTGTTTGACTTACGTGCACTTATACACAGAAAAAATGTCAGTATGAAAAATGGAAAACTCCTCAAACATCAGCTCTTTGTGTTAGTTCCAACACCGATGACAGCAGCTAGTCTTTTTCCCAGCCAGAGCCAGTGATCCGGCACTGCTACAGAAGCATGACCTGGATTCCATTGTGTTTCATGCCCCATCAACAAAACCATCAGCTCAGCTCTAACTGCAAAAAATCTTTATTGTTATTGATGTATAAGAATGGGAAAGATGTAAATTAATAAACGGAACCTAGGTAGATTTTGCACTACCAGACTTTTGACTAATAATGACATATAATTACAGATTAAAGACAGTGGATCTGGAGGTTCATTAGAGAAAGTAAGCATGGACCCCTAATGTGTACATTTTTTTCTTTTCTCTACAGCAACTTTTCATATTGTGGCCACTTTCCAAGAGTTCAACTTGCCAAACAGGTTGCATCAAACCTGGAGACCATGCTGCTCTTCATGAAAAGAAAAGTTACCCCAAAACAAGGTAATCACATAGGCACTCTATAAACACCATGAAATGAACTTCACCTCAAAAGTTTACAAATGGAAGAAAAGGTTGGAGGAAAAAAGTAGATGCCCAGTGGAAACAACAGCAGAGATCAGAAGAGAATTTATGTCTGCCTGACTTCTGGGCCATTGCTACACCTAAATCACACCTCTCCAAACTCAAATGTGAAAAAGTAAACAGAAAAAGTACCCTTCACAATGAGTGACACGGACATACAAGGTCAGTGTTCTATAAATTCTCAGCTTCAGAAGCAGAACTGCAGGACCAGCGATTTATACGCAAATCCTGCTGATGTTTCTAATTGTTATAGTACAGATTATGTGCCTTCTTCACAGCAGTAGCATGTAAAATCTCTTCTCCATTTCATCTGCTAAAGTTCAGCTAGCATGCCTGTTCCTGGGGCTCATTAGCGTGGGCTACAGATGTTGCTAGATAACCTTCCAAAAAAAAAATAAAAATTATGCAGCTGAGTTCTGGTCTCATTTGTTTTGAATAGATAGAACTTGTGTACCTCTTTCAAGCTGTACTTCTCAGTGGGGTGTTCAGTATATCTTCTTCCTGCAGTTGAGGGGTGACTTGTTTTCTTAAGCATTTCCTCCACAATTATTCCACTTACAGGCACAGAAAAAATAACCTTTTGTTTCTGTCATTTGCCTACTTGATACAAGTAGGTAGAGGTTGTGCCAGAGACATGACCAGTAACATTTATCTTAATGTCCAAGTAAGGGAAATGTACCCAGTGGATGCTTCGTTACTGTTTTTAACTGTTACACAGTATTTAAATCAACAGTGAGTATGCTACAAACATTTATCAGCTAACACTGTCACTTCCCACAGTCGTCCGTCTCCTTAAAGCTATTTTCTAGTCAATTATCCTAACCCTCACCTTCCAATGAGAAATTAATAAACCTCATAGGAAGACAATTCACTTTTCTTTTCCAAAACATTAAAAACTCTTGACATTTCTTAAAGTGAGGGTCAGGACTGAGGAAACTGTTGGAGATAAAATGGCATTACAGATGTCTGCCTTCTGTGCTTCTGTGATACCCATACCTTCATGCATAACAAATTTGGTCACTTCATAGGAACAGGGAAGGGAGGGAGGTAAATGATTTCAAGCAAGCAGGTTCATATCATGGCATGTTTTTGCACTAAAAGATCAAGCTATGCTTTCCTTCCTGTTACTTGCATTGCTATCAGTCAAAGGTCCCACAAAATAGATGTAACCTGACTCTTCCTCCTAATTCACATTAGACCCTCAATTGGAGTGAAGTATCCCGATTCCATTTTGGAGGTTTGTTACGGATGTCACTTAGGGCACACACTGAGAACAACCACTGTTTAACAGTCTTTTGACTCATTACCATTTTATTGATTTTGATCAGAGTTAAAAAGGCTTTGTGGCATCCATAGTCCACTGGTTCCGTTTCTCTGATTGCACACGCTGAATATGTGGACTACTGTTATCAATGCTTATAGGAGGGGAGCTGAACTTGCACAAAAAATTAATCTTACAAAAGACTGAAGTCATATACAGCTGTGTGAACAGGAATGGGTTCTTCCTTGGCCCAGAAAATTCTCATTAGCTTTGCAAAACTGTATAAATATTAGAATAAAAATTGGACCTAGACCCTCAAAACCACATAGGTTATTACGGTCACAGTGACTTTTATTTTAAGGCCAAAGGCCCAAAATTATAAATAAATACAGAAAAGTAGACTTCCCTTCCAGTCAGTTTTATAGGTAACAGAACATATTAAAATTGGCGATAAGAGAAATTCTTCCTTTGTTGAACTGACTAAATGCCAGCATCACGACTGTATTTCAAATGATACTAAGATCAAGGCAATCCAGATATTTTTTATTAAGCCAAGCCATTAGCAATGCTTTTCCTAACCAGTTTTTCACAAATGGAAATTCTCCAGAAATGCTTTGAAATCAGACATCAAAGTCGGAAAAAAAAGAAGACATTTTAGAGCAATAATAGGAAACATACAGAAAAACCTATAAAAACATGTCATTCTGTCTGTTGCTGCCACATGTTTTACAGCACTGTGGGTCAGCCAGTACAGCAGATTGTGTCCTGTCTAGGCTTCAGAGCATGGGGGACAGCTGGAGGATTTTACCTGTCAAAAGAAGGCTTCTCTCCACAGTCAAATGCATCCTGTAACTCCTTGACAAGATTAGCTTGCCCAGGCAGTCGAAAAAGGCCTTCTTCCTTTAGCCCCCGCTGTCGGATAAAATCCACGCACTGTTCCACCAGCATAGGAGCCAGGCGGTTCCCATAGCGCTTTTCGTATCGGACAGTATCTTCCAGCTTCTGGCCAAAAATACCTGCATGAAAAAGAGAGATGTGACTTGTTTGAGATTCATAAAAACATTTGAGGAGCCCCTGCCTTCTATTACAACCCACACAATTTACAGGTCATTTAAATGCATGGACAAGTAACCTACTCCTTTCTTAAGAATAAAATGCTCCATTTCACCCTTGATACTCTCGTGGAAATACAATGCTGACATATTTTACAACAATGCTCAAAAACATTATTTAAAATAAAGTACTGTAAATGATTTTTCAGACCATAACCACAGAGAACATAGAAATAATACCAATAGTATTTTCAGTCATAAAACTTTTAATCCAAGAGATACACGTCTCCACCTTCTTTGGTTCATACCTAATTATCTATAAAAAATTAAATAGTTCCTGTTCCAGTTTCAATGGCATATAAACATTACCTTTATACATGGGAGGCAAAGAGTTTATAAATATAACTCAGGATTTCGTTCCTATTAAGTCAAATTATTAATTAAGTTTTCCTACATAAACAAAGACCATTCTTATAATGTACTACCAATTGCATTATTACTGTCTGCTTTAGCAACAATAAATTTTGTATATGGAGAAAGATCCTGACATGAAAGGTGAAATATGTCAGACAAACTGTAGGAAACCTTCATTTGTACTTAACCTCAGAAGAACATGGAGTTTTTTTGACAGAATTAACTTCAACCCTGATCTGAGGATATCATTGCTACCACTGGAAAGACAGCTACTGTCCATAACTTATTTTGCCTCTCCCTTTCAAACTGCAGAGCCAGCCATCATAGACAGCATCACAGTAATGCTCAGGCATGTCATCTGTGATGGAAGCTTTCTCCTGAGACTACCATTTGTTGAATAGTATTGGAGCTGAAGCGAGGCAATTCAATTTCTATATATAGCAAGACAACAAATAGTTCTAAGGCAGTCATGATCAGAAACTAAAGACCAAAAAAATGCCTATGCTTGGAAGGCTCCTTTTCCAATCACGTGCACTATGAAGTGGGGAAAAAAAAAAGCAGTAAATTGAATTGTGTCCTTCACTGAGCTCACAGTTCCTACTGGTTTAAAAATATTAAATAAGGACAACAGAGTTGTTTTGGTTTGTTTTTTCTAAAGAAAGGCCAAGGTTGAGCTAGTCAGCTTTTGCTTTGGCCCAAAAACTTCACCCAAAAACTACAATTACATAAACAACTAACCACAAGCTAAGGTAGCATTCAGATTGAAGCATCCTTCAGGGTAACCTTCAATGTGTACATTTTTCCTGCAATAGAATCATAGAATGGTTTAGGTTGGAAGAGACTTTAAAAATCGTGTAGTTCCAACCCCCCTGCCATGGGCAGGGACATCTCCCATGAGACCAGATTGTCCAAAGCCCCATGCAACCTGGCCTTGAACACTTCCAGGGATGGGGCCTCCACAACTTCCCTGGGCAATTTGTTCCAGTGCCTCACCACCCTCGTAGTGAAAAATTTCTTTGTAATATCTATTCTAAATCTACCCTCTTCTAGTTTGAAGCCATTACCCCTCATCCTATCACTACAATAAAAGAAAGATAACTCACACCTCAGTTGTAAGGGGGAAAGTTGCCTTGCACATGCTCCAGGATGTTACGGAAAGTGGGTAGCAAGCTGTCAGTCACCCATACTGAAGGTCTGAGGTTTGTATTTAAGTGCAATTACTTTTACTGCAGCACAGGAAATAACTGGAGAGAGTAACTGACAACTATCTAAGACATCCAGACAGTATTCTGAGATGCAGAGCAGCATATTTTGTGATTTCCATGATACCCACACTTATGCATGCCAAGAACAGCAGTAGGTAAGGTGACTGAACATCACACTTTCACACTTTATTAGCTCACTCTTTTTCATGTTGTACAAAACCCAAACCCCAACAATTAGCAATTAAAGAATGAATTTTTCACATTTCAGAGCTAGACAGGCTTAGAAGAATACTGACTGATGTGGAATACTTGGTGTCTGCAAAGTTCAGCCTCTTCATGCTGGCAGAGGAGAAAGTACATTTTCTTAATTCCTACATACCTTCCCCAACCTCCTGCAAACTGCCTATGGGGATGGCAGGAGTATTAAATGAATTCGGGTTTCTTGCATTTGTCTGAGTTAAGGGTTGCTGCTGGTCAGCATGGAGGAAATACTCAAGTCCCTCCATTTTCTAGACTCTCTGTCTGAAAGTAGTGGAATTAAGGAAGAAGGTCCACTGAAAGTCAGTTAAGGAATCTGTGTGATTATGGGAATTTGGGGATTTCAAAGTCCTTCTTAATATTCAAGCAGGATGCTGTTCAATGCCCCCAAAGTTATCCCTTCTCCTGGCTGAATAAGCCCCATTTCCTCTGCCTCTCCTCACATGGCGTGTGTTCTAGCTCACAAGCATCTTGGTGGCCCTTTGCTAAACTCCCCCCAGTTTTATCTTCCTGCGCCCCCCTTTTCTTTAATGGACACAATATTTGGAATATGGTCTAAAAAATGCTGAGCAGAGGGTGTTAATCACTTCCCTCCCTCTGCTGGCTCTGCTTCTGACGGTACTGTCCACACTGCTGTCAAAACCTTCCTTGTGGCCAGGTCCACTGCTGGCTCGTGTCCAGCCTATTGTCCCCCAGGGCACCCAGGTTTCCCTGGGGTTATTCCTTCTTAAGTGTAGGACTTGTCTGTCCTACTTCAGTTTGTCCTATCAACATATAGACTGAGCTTCCCTTCAAGAGCTCAGGAGATCTCTTGGTTTTAAACACAAGAGGTTTTGCTTCCTTTCACACAAAATTAATCAGTATAAGATAGGATATTCCAGTTATATTATGTACAATTACAACTCATACCTACTGACAGTACAATTAGTATAAATAGGCTTTGTCCTATTGGCTGTATTTTCTTCTCTCCATGCTAACACTCTTTAATCAGTAATGTGCATACTGCAGCTTACATTTGCAGAGGAAAGAGTAAGTTCTCAAACCTCCCAGACTGCTTTGAAACTTCTATTAGTGATGACACTGCTGTCAAAACACATCACTTTCTATTAATACATATTCTGGCATGCTGCCTTTTTTTTTTTTTACCTTCATTTTAGAATTGGCTTTCAAAGTCTGTTTAATAGGCAATAAATAAAATCAGAATAAGGGTTTTTTTTTGCACAGTGGGAGCAAAACCCCATATAAATGGGTTTATATATATATATTAAATGGCTATGACAAACTTGATTTTGTATTATAGCAGCAAGTCACAGGTACTGAATGAAGAAAACCTTAAAAAAACTGTATCTGAGGAAGAATAGCACCTGATATGATGGGGAAGTAACTACTGTCAAGAAAAAAAAAAAAATCCAAACTGGAGCTTAAAATTTCCCAGTTCTGGTCCCTTAAGTGTAAACTTTAAATTGTTTCTACTACTGACTGCAATAAGGTACATTGCAAATTAAGGGACTTTTATTGAGACACTTAAAATACACATAGCTAGGAATGCCCAAAGGAGAGACAGAATAGCTGTAACAGTTTTCTCAGACTTGACAGATTGGATACAGATCCTACACAATCCTCAGAACACAGTTGCATTGAGTCTTGCTACACACGTACTTCACGGACGGAGAAGTAAGTGTATGCCCCACCATATTCACATGTCAGATAAAGCCTCAGGGACTTGATTCCCGTCTATATGAATGGTGATAACACCATATCTAACTTACGGGCATGAGGATCTCCACACTCAGCTTTGGGAAGCTCAAAGCTAGTGTGGTAATTCTGACAAATATGTAATAACCTAAAGTTAAGACCTAAGTCCTATGGAAAATCACCACATCACACCTTGAAGTGCTTCTGAAGTCACAATTTATGACACTCTGCATTCTCCAATTTGTTTGGCTTTGGAATTCACCTCAGGTAGGCTTGGTTTGGTTTCAAAGACTAGGCTGAACTTCTCCAAAGGAAGTATTTCCTTCACCTACAAAAGCAGAACATGACACCAGGCAGCACTTGGCCATGAAAGGAATCAGTCATGATAAGCCTGCATAAATATTGACTTGAAGTTACAGACTTGCTGATGCCTTATGGAAAAAGTACTCTGTTGCCAGGGGCAGAAGTGGCAGAAACATGACAACTCTGCTTCCACGTCATATTGTCATAACTTTTGTTCATCATCTTCCTGGTGTCTGCTGGGTTTTTCACTGTTTTGGAATAAAAGCCATGATCACTGCCCCATAAGGTGCACCTTCTTCCACTGTGCCTTTCTAATGCTTTTATCCCCCCATACGTCACAACTAATGACTATGGAGATACTGCAGATTAATAGTTTATGAAGACTAAGACATTGACTATTATGAAGCAAAGGCAATGCTGTGAAGAATTGTCATTACAAACATACAGTTATCTTAGTGGTTGGCAGAGGCAGACAACTGTAACAACAGACAACGCTATCAGCTACACCTGGTAACTACTAGCATCTGCTTTACAGAGAAACAAGGAAAAGACAGTCCAAGTTATGAAGACTACAACATAACCAAAATCACAGAGATAATTTCACATGCTGTTTTTTAAAAGTAAATTTCCACTACAGTAACTAAACAAGAACACCTCTGTGGAGAAGGAAATAAAAGACAGCCCTCATAACTCATGTTGTAGTTCAAACCCAAGTTCTCCTCCTAAATGTCAATTTCTCCAAAATCCAGAAACGCAGAGATGCACAAGTGGTGCCCTGTGGTTTGGTTTATCCTTGGGATAGGGTGCCAGAAAGGAAACAAACAAACAAAACCAACAAGAAACCCTGAGATTCAGAATGGCAGCAGCTTGGCTTCCCCACAGCTGGCAGAAGGCAGGGAAACGTACAGGATTCCAGTCCTGACCAGTCATTAGATTTAATCAGCAGAACTGCTTTTTCAGAGAGGCTCTTGTAGGTCTTTAAAGCTATATCCAATTAAGCCAAGATCACGCATAACATCAAAGAGGAAAATCACATGCTAGTAAGGGGCATGCCGAGCGGTTATTCATTAACTAGAACATTCCTGTGGC